CCGGAGACCTGCCGCCGAGGTCTAATTGCGCAGTTTTTAGCGTTCCTCCCGAAAACATTTGAGTGAAGCGGAACTATATAGGAATTTCGCAAAAATCTGGGTAAGTAACTTCTTGCTCTTGATTCGGCTCTACTAGAGATATTTTCCGAAAAACGCTGACCTGCGAACCCCCAGAAATTAGTAAGTTAAGAAGAAATTTTAACGAACACTTGAGTCTTATGACTCATCACAAAATTCTTTAATGAAGTGGTGGAATTTGAACGTGCTGAAACATGTCAAAGTTGATCTTCGCTTTTCTGTAGAAGAAAAACTCCGTGGGTCCTCAAAATATGGGTGAAAAATGCATAACGAAGTAAAATAAGGGAAATAGATGATGAAGAATGTTTGAGGAACACTTTATCATTTCTTCGCTAAATTTTTGCATTGACAGTTTGTTATAATTTCAAGCAAGAAAATTTGCTCGTTATTTATCTTCTCAGCTGCCAACCTCCAAATCATTCACTTATTGCGAAGCGCTCGTCAAGCGAAGCGCTCGTCGAGACCACTATCAATTTCGCGCTGTTTCTAGCCTATAGAACTTACAGCGCATCGCACTTACTGTATTAGGGCCCATTACTCATCAGCGCACAGGCATCCATCTTGGCAGTACTACGCATGGATGCTGCAAATACGGAAAGTATTGGTCCTATCGCCCCGCACCTTGATATTGCGCTCTGGTAGAGATCTTCAGGTGCAACTTGTTTGATTAGAGCACTGTGGAAATTGCCGAGAAATTAGGAAGACGTACCCGTTTTGCACCTTTTTCGGAAACATGTTCAAGCTTTCAAGATTTCAATGACTATGATTGAAAAGATTGAATTTCACTAAGCAATAAAATAATTGCTGAAGTAATAACGACATTCAGGTCTATTGCATTTTTAACCTCAGTTACAGATTTTTGAAAATTCAGATTTGGCTTCATCAAAATAATTGACGATGTAAGTAAAGAAGCTACTGTAGAAGCAAAGCTTGAAAAGTAGATGGTTGAAACCATGTGTAGAAAAGGATTGCATCAAACGTAATGTTTCGATTATCTTCCACATAATCAATAACACATCATGGGGAAAGAACTAGTGTTTTTCTTGTTCTTTCCCTACGCCTTTCATATTCGGAGTAAACCGCGTTTTCACTAGGAAGTGAATAGAGAGTTGCAGCTACTTTAGTGATTTTCGACATAATACAGATCTATAATAGAGAAGTTTGACACAACATCTTTGAAAAACTAAAAAAAAACTCAAATTTCTTCGTTCAAAATCGATATCTCACTTGGTCAGCGTAACGAAGAATTTAGAAGAATTTGACGGTAATCACATTTCGTTGTCGTAGAGTGATTGGAAAAAAATAGTCGTTCAATGTTTATTCTCAAAATATCATGCACAAAAAAAGTTAATAGATTTAAGGCCTGGTATCTACAAAAGTGCTGGCTAAATAATTTGCAAGTGAGTTTTTATATCAAATTACTCTCTCACAACGATTTCCGGAGAAGCCGAGGTTGCAAATACAAGTGAATGATGAAGTTGTGCCAAAGCAAATGCCTCGTCCATTGCAGTCGCGATTCGAATCGCACACCGCTGCAAATTGAACATACAGGAAGATTTAAAATGAATTTGCAAACCAACTTTCTTCACAGCTGCTTCCCGAAAATCCTAGCTGACAAGCACAGATATGAGTTTGCTTGGTGCCTATGCATGTTCCCCGATTGTTGCAGTCTACTGCAGTGCATGCGAGACGCTGCAATCAAAATGCTCGAATATAAGTCACTATCCTGGAAAAGGCACTCTAAAAAGTTCCATAAATAGGTTTAAATAGTTTCGAGCATCTATCAATTATTCATATAATCTTTGCTTCTCATTACAACTGTTTTAAACTTATAGGTGTACATACATGAATCATGCCCATATTATCCCATTTGTAACAAAATTATTCCAAGGAAACAAGGTATTTCATGTAGATTAATGTGAAGAAAGCACAATTAGTACGTGCTAACTCTGTGCATCGTAAACCCTCCATAACTGCCTGCCAACCACAAATAATACGGATTTCAAAAACTTGGCGCTGAACATCGGAGATACGCGCGCTTTTCGCAGAGCTGCGAAATTACAGAAAACATCATGAAAAGAGCCAGACTAACAAACCTATTGAGTTGAATAGAAGGACTTTTTTTGAAGAGAAACTTCAATTGAAAAGTTTGGAGCTTCGGTCTTGAAACTAATTGTCTTACCTCAGAGAGATCAGAGACAGCATTTGTCAGCTTCTGGTTGCCATCGACAACGGAACCGTTGAGATTTTTAACCTTAATAGCGCTATAGACTCAGAAAAGCTTGAGAAGGCAAGAACTCTATCGGCACTGATATTTGTGTAATCGATCCAAAATAACCAATATTTACCGCTTTGTCCAACTCTTTTTTTACTTCTTCAACCGTGTTTTGTTCGACAGATGCCGATTCGCCAGCAGCGTCCTTCTTATTCGCTTTGGTGACATTCGCTGATAGCTCGGTCGACTAAACATAGAAGGCTGAACGCGCTCCAAATAAAGATCTGATCTTCCAAATCCTTGTCACAGAATCTGCGTATAGCATGTTCAAAAGAAAGAGCTTTTTAAA